CCATCATGAAATATAAAAACAATTATATATAATCAAGCCGAAAAGTGGCTTAGAGTAAATAAACCTCTGAATAACAGATTGGAAATAAATAATAGTAAATCGTATGACAATACTTGATGGGTTAATTAGGACTTTATGAGAAAATGAATATATCTATAATGATAATCTAGTTACTTATACAATAAGAGTATATATATATATATATATATATATATATATATATATATATATATATAACAGTCCATAAATCAGTCCTAGAAGTAACCATTCATTTAGTCTTCCTTTAGATATAACACAGGAACTTTAAGTTCTTAATGAGTAGGGTACCGATCACATGCTTAGTTGGTGTTTAGTCTTTTACACTTTCACAATATGACACGATTACTACCCATCACTTAATTTACCAACTGAAAACTGGATAGATGTTTCTCTTATAAGATAATCTCTCAAGTCTTCAAACTAAAGATTAAATGTACAAGAAGACAGAACGATGTCAAGGGAATCGTTGCCGTAGTAACTGTGTTTAAAGCAGGTTAATACACGCATAGTTTACTTATTTATAATGGAAACATAAAACGTTATTATTTACTTAATGAATAAGTTTTAAATTAAATTGCGTCTTTCGTCTATGATTTCAAGTATTAACATAACTATAATATCGTTTTCTAGGAGAATATTTCCACTCAAATTTATTTATTCATTACAAAAGGTTCATTACGGGGCGCTATCAGCTTGAAAACTATTTAAATTTATGAGGGATTAGACGTGTGTTTTATAATATTTTGAAAATCCTCAGCGTTACACATCCGTAACAACACACGTAGTTGAACTCAGGATGTTTTGATCTAACAATCAGGCTGAGACTTTTATAAATATGCATACCATATGATTTAAACAGTCCACATTTATCTAATCGGACACAAATTAGATTCAGACCACTTCCTTTATTAAAAAAAGTATTGCTACTTGTTTGAAATTGCCAAAGATTTAGTCATTATGGAATATCTATCAGTAATGTTGAACCTTCAGTATAGAAGTTATTTTATAAATGAGATCATGAGCCAATTGAATCTAGACCACTATGGAAAACCTGGAAGCACTGAACGGCCGTTTCGTCCTATTATGGCTCTCCTCAGCAGTGCGCATCCACGATTCCGCCTCACGAGATTCGAACCCAGGACTACCATTCTCACGCCAGAGCACTTAACCACCAGACCACTGAGCCTGTTGGCATTCAATGGTGTTAATGTCTAACCTCAACCAATCCACGAAATTGCGCGACCGATTTCCATTGTACAAAAATCTCCATAAAACCCCCTTGTGATAAAGAAGTTATTATTATTGAACAGATTTCTAATCTAATCACTTCAAATCAGTATTAAAAAACAATCAAAGTGTTCTTAAATGTAGATCAATTTCAACTTATAATACTATATGATGATGTAATAATTTTAGATCTCACATTTTGATCATATTTCAATCGATTAGAATATTTTTGATTAGTCTCCATACTATGGTCACATGTATCTTTAATGGAATTTTATATCGAATATACACACTTCATTGAATGATGTATGGAAAGAAAATAAAATCGATTACATTATAAAATTAAATAAAATTCTGTAATTATTTTCTTTTGAATGTTTAATTTTATTCTTTAAAACAAAAAGACTGAAATAGATTCAATTTTAATTGAATTCAAATGAAAATAAGCGTCATTTGAATGGATTCCTATTGTAATACTGTTTGATAATAGTTTAAACAATCTAAACAAGTTAACTGATAAGAATTGATTACATTACCCATCCTTTATGTTTCCCTTGATTCCATTACCTAATAACATATGACCCGCTTTTGCATATATATATGTATATCATTGATAACTTTTAGTCATTTCAATCCTTTACATTCACTTATGTCAATTGTTCCACACTATTTATTACCCCAATGTTAAAATTTTAATACATATTTAGTTGTAAGCAGCTGATGAGGAACTGCAAAATATAGGGAATTTATATTATTGTGCATTAATATTAGTTCTGGTTTTATTTGATTGAATCCAATAGTTTTTTTTTCACTTATCAAAACTGATTTAATTAATATTTAATATTTTCATAATTGAAATCATGAGTCAATTGAAGCTAGACCACCATGGAAAACCTGGAAGCCCTGGACGGCCATTTCATCCTAATGTGGATTGGTTGAAGTTAGACATTAACACCATCGGATACCAGCTCAGTGGTCTGGTGGTTAAGCGCTCAGGTGCGAGACTGGTAGGTCCTGGGTTCGAATCTCGCGAGACTGGATCTTGGATGCGCACTCCCGAGGAGTCCCATAATAGAGCAAAACGGTTTTCCAGTGCTTCCAGGTTTTCCATGATGGTCTAGCTTCAATTGACTCATGATTTCAACTATGAAAATACGGAAATTTAAAATTAACCCCTTCTGATAATATTTAATACTTTAAAGAATGATTTGTAATTTGTCCTATTTTTTACTATGAACATTATACAGTTTTATTAAAACAAAAAAACACACAAAAAACAAGGATTTGTAAACATTTCATAGAATTGAATCATTCTTTAATTATTACATAATTACTTACTTAATTACGCCTGTTACCCCCAATGAAGCATAGGCCGCCGACCAGCATTCTTCAACCCACTCTGTCCTGAGCCTTCCTTTCTAGTTCTATCCAATTTTAATTCATTCTTCTCATGTCTATCTCCATTTACCGGTCTTTGGTCTTCTTCTTCTCCTTTGGCCTTCAGGATTCCGTGTAAGGGCTTGGGCGATTTCCTCAATGTGTGTCCTATCCACTTTCACCGCTTTTTCCTCATTCCCTTCTCCGCTGGAATCTGGTTTGTTGTCTCCCACAGTAGGTTGCTGTTGATAGTGTTTGGCCAACGGATCCGAATTATCTTGCACAGACAACAGTTAATAAACACCTGTTTCTTCTAGATGATGGCTTTTGTAGTTCTCCACGTCTCCGCCCCATACAGAAGATCTGTCTTCGCATTTGTATTGAAAATTTTGATCTTGGTGCTGATTGACAATTGTTTTGAGTTCAAGATGTTCTTCAGTTGTAAGTATGCTGCTCTTGCTTTGCTGATCCGCGCCCTCACATCTTCATCACATCCACCGTGTTCATTAATGATGCTGCTCAGATATGTGAAAGTTTTCACATCCTTTAAAGTTTCTCCGTTAAATGTATTCTTTAATTAAAATAGTAATATGAAAATATTATTACATACGAGAAATATTTTGTATAAAATAGATTGATTGATTACTAATAGATAACTCGTTTGATTCTGATAAATAATTAATTAAACATAATATGAAGGAAATATGTATATCAAACTATTACTTAAATGAATTTGATTCTAATAAATATGTAAATAACCTCCTACTAATTATGTCAATCAATAGTATCTATCATATTGTAAACTCTATGTATACTATATTGTTGTTAGACATCTAACATAAAGCTTTCACTGTATGATTAATTAAAATGATGAAAGAATTTTAGGTAAATTCATAATGACTGATTTAGTGATTCATCTCTATTTATTTCAAAATGAAAGATTATTGAAATGTACTTTTCTTGGATCTGGAAATGATGGATAACTTGAAAGCCAGGAAATACACTTATTGCATTTGATCACGATGATTTTTTTGGAGTTTATATAACTGTATTATGTAATGTTATCTCTCTTTTAATTAGGGAAGTTTTACTTTTCTACAAAACAACACAATTAAGGTAATGATCAGTTTTTTAGTTGGAAGAAAAGCTATTTTAAAATTGATAGAAGTTGAGATTGTACCATCGGAGTCCAGTTCATGATTCTTTAAAATCATACATACAAATGAAATGAATTAGTGGAGTTCCTCATGGATTAAAATTATGTGATGTGTCATTGAAAATAAAGAAAGCGTAGACAGCTTTCTTGTCCAAGAATCAGTCATTTTAGCAGTATATACTCACTACCTGTCTAAGAATGATAAAAGTCACCTGGAAACCAAACTTTAAAGCCACACTACAATTCTTTGTTAATTATAAAGTAGCTCTGAGATAGATTACAAAAGTTTTGCTATAAATTCGTGATTGGTAGAGTTCGGTGTTTAGAGTTGAATCGGGTATCCGCTTATTGCAATAAATGAATTCCACAACACGTAACTAATCAACTGAAGTTGGAAATATGGATCATTCGTTTTCGACTTATTAGTCTAAAAGTCACGCACCTACTATGAGATTTAAAGTCTTTAAGTCCGACTTTTGTAGGAGTCATGAATGCATATTACTAAGGAGTCCTAAAGTAGAACTGAAAATCTGTATAATGTTTCCTTATTTTATAGGTTATTTAACTGTGCACAGTTCATGATAATAAAGACCACAAAATATATGATTCAGTTTGGAAAAAAATAATTGAGAAAAGAGAATGAAAAGTATGGGATAATGCTAAACTTAATCATTTAAGTAAAATTAAAGAATAAATACATCTTAGCTTCTGTGATTGACTTTAAGCCAATTCAACTCAGAAAGATTACGATTATCGAATGAACTTCAATTAGTAGATATTCTCCTTAGTCAATTACAATGCGTTGATACTATACAATAGTCTGATGACAAGACAATTGTGTAATTGTCATATAATTATCTATTTAATACATAGTTATCAATATTAATTATCTTGACATTTTAGCAATCTAAATTTATTGAAATTTTATCAAATTGTAATGCCTTTTCGTTTATTCATTCTTTTACTTGTTATTCTTCTTCTTCTTCTTCACAGCATCTGAATATCATGATATTTATTTAGGTTAATGAAAGTCTTAGAATAGTGGCTAGTTGAGTGAAGAAAAGAATTAATAATCGATTTTTTATGAAATCAAACAATACTGTAAATATAATACATTATATTTATTAAGCAAAGATGGATAGTGGCTAGCAGTGGAATCCAGGATTGCTAGCTACTATCTATCTTTGCTTACAATACTTGTGAATTCAGGCTATATCGAGGCAGTTCGCACAGTATGCACATATGCCAATTAGAGACTCACCAATTTCAGTTCTAAAACATCAATGGGAAGATTCAAACAAACAATACCAAGTGACTATTATTATTATTATGTAGCCCAGTAAATAAAGTTTTGGTATTTATAGTAAGTGATTTCTAGCTTCAAATTTCAGTGAGCACATAAAAACAAAGATCCAAGCATATTCACCTGATGAATTCTAAATTGAATGAATTGTTCATTCTATATTTCATTGCTTTTCCCTATTGTTACGTAGTGGTAGTAGTAGTAGTACAAGTAAAATATGATTGGTCACTGATCGTAGACAAATAGGTATGTGATCACTTTTCCTCTTGTTGATTTCTACTTCGGACTCACTGAGAGTAACTGTTTGTAATTGTGCAGAATAAAGTATTATTTATTCTTTACTTCGGTTCTCTATTTTGGATGTTGAATCATGAATCTGATATAACATGGCTAGTCTTATTATCATATTCATGTGTTATCGTACTATACGTGATAGAGAGAAGAATATTTTAGACCATCAGTTAAATCACCTATTAAACAAATTTGTGAATAATTAGTGATTAACTTAGTTAATACAGAATGTGTTTTTTTTTCATTTGTAAAAGTGTGTAGAGTAATTTTGTATTCATCATACATTATGCTTACATTACCATTGCCTGTAAGCACAAATCAATCATTTCTTCGTTGTTGTAGCATGTTCATTTCACTAATATTATTATTATTATTATTTTTAGGATGATGCATATGGTCAAGATTTGTATATGTTAAATAAATGTTTAGATGATATTGAATGGTTTGAAAAGAAATTAAGAAAAAGTTTAAGATCATCACCACAAGAACTTGATGATAAACATAGTGAGTTTTATACTAATCAATTGATGAAATAGTTTTTTTTTCAGGAAACATTAATTTTATCATACTTCATAAAATAACAAAGATTGATTCATTTAATTTACTAATAAGATACAGTTTTTTTACTCGACATTGACTGTTGGAGCCAAGATTTTTTTTAAAAAAGAAAGAAAATACATTTACAAAACATTGTTATAATCCAGTGGCTTACACTGAATCTAATTTTTCTACTCATTGAGATATTACAAATATATGATTTTTTTATTTATAACAATCTACTCATTGCTCAATTTATTTGAAATTAACGAGTCAAATCCAATAATAATAGCCATTAATTAAAAGGTTTCGAAGAAGATAGATAATATCATTCTGGTTATAAATATTCTATTGTTAGCCAACTATCGCTGAAAGAAAAACTATAATTCTCAAGTACATTATGCTATTAACAATGATATGCTGTCTAAGTGACTAATTTCGAGAGGTAATTCTTGGAGTTCTCGTGGGGGGTTGTTATCGGTTGGTCTCAATTATGTGAGAAGTGGAATAATTAGCCACCGAAAACATTGAAAGACAGTTGCACAATCTTAAGTATTCAGTGAAGTTAGATATGTGAGTCATCTAATTTCATCGCAGTGATTTAATGATTGAACCCTCACTTCAAGACCTGAGTTCGATACCAGGTGGAGTCATAAATGTAACTTACTGAGGAGTTGGGAAACAGCTGTCTAATGTTTCCTCGTTCCTCCAGTTGTTTAAGTAGGATTAGTTTGTGATGTAAACTATGTAAAATTCTCATCGTCATTACTGAAAAAATGGTCAGTTCATTGTTTAGGCTAAATATTTACACACTGAGAGTTTTGTTATTTACTACAATTCTAAGAAGCTTAAGGATGTAGAGAAGGAATTTTGGAACTAGTGGTTCCCTGTGAACGTATTTGATAAGAAACTCAAATTACTTGTACTTAATGCCGGGAGATTTCAGGAATAATTCATACCGATGTTGAGTTCTGTATTTTCATAAAACAAATGATATGAACTTCTAGTTAAAATTTTAGAGGTAGTATCAAGGAACTTCAAAGTTGACTTATCTACACTAAATCAATTAAAAGTAGAATGGATTGCGGTACAATATATTATTTATACAGCATTCTCTAACGACAATTAGAAGTGTTATAATTGTTTATTTGAAGAGAAATTTTTAATAATGTTGGCTTTTCAAATTGAAAGAAAGAAAGAAATTAGGCTATAAAGCATCGATTCTACTGAAAACTCTGTGTTATGTATACGTACATCGAAAACGTCTAACAGCTATATAATACCTTTTACTATATATAAAAGCAAGAGTATACAAATAATTTAACTAATTAGCTTTCACGATCCCGTCTCGTGGGATTCGAACCCAGGACCTATCAGTCTCGCGCTTGAGCACTTAACCGATAGACCACTGAGCAGCCACTTAACGGTATTAATTTCTAACTTCAACCAATCCGCGAAATTGAGTAACCGTTCACCAATGTCTTCAGTAAGTTGATATCTCCCAGCAGACCTAGTTGAACTCCACTAGTTACTGCTTCTCACTAGAATTCCACGAAATATCTGATGGAGCCAGTCACTAGTGAGCATATGACCATTATCAGAAGAAGGTTTCGTGGAGATTTTAGTAATTTTATATAGTTGAAATCACGAATCAATTGAAGCTAGACTGTGGTGTGATGTACTTATATCCGTATAAGTAGTATATGGTAATATCAGACATAGAATGTATTTTGGCTGAAGATCGATAAGGAACGAACAGGAATAAAGCGCAATTGGTACAAAAATGCATGAACAATGAAATCAGAGAAAACGGATTGATATTTGCAGAAGGAACAGTTAAGATTGAGACAAATGATGTTTATTTTGCAAATTAACTGTTGACTGCATCGTTATTTAGTGAATTTAGTGAAATGGTTTGTAATGTTGTGCTTAAATACATTCGATTGTCTCCATCAATGTTCTGTTCACTACAAGACCACCATGGAAAACGTGGAAGTACTGAACGGTCGTTTTGTCCTATTGTAGGACTCCTCAACATGTTATTTCGAGTTAATCAAAAAAAAACAATTATAAATTTAATTTTGCCAAAAAAACAAACGAACTTCAATTAATTATTTTCTTTTCATTAAATAATCTAATTCTTTTATTTCATTTTTAGTTATCAATACCAAATCAAATACTGATGAACCGCCAAATTCTACTATCACAATTGATTGTTTACAAAAAATTAAATATTCATTAAATATTATTGAAAAAATTCGTAAAAAAATTCCATATCTATCTAAAGAAATTTTTATTTATTTAATTAAAATTATATGTAAAATTCATTTAATTGCTAAAACAAAAAAATTTATTCATTATAATTGTAATATTGTTATTGATGTAATTGAACCATTATTAAATGAAGATACAATTACATCAATATTTAAATTATTATCAATTAAAACAAAAGAATTATGGTTAGAACTTGGACCTGCATGGAATACACCAAGGTAGATCATTTCTATATATATGTATATATGTATATCTTTTATTTATTTCAATTAACTACATAAATATTGGTACAAAGGGGCGTCACACAAATCTCATTTGATTTGTGTGAGGTTTGTGATACTGCACGGGTGCTCAAACCGAAATAGATGATATTTGATTTTAAATAGTTATTTAATTGATATGTTAAACTAATTTTTATATATCACTGAAATTAATATTAATTGTGTATTTAATATCATCGATATTGATTCATATTAGTTCTAATGAGCTATCTAATATCTTCTAGTTCTCAACATTTTCCAAACTGGTATTGTAGTGAACGGGAACATAAGTGAGGGACAACCAAATGTGTTTCAACACAAAATTACAAAATCTCTTAGTGAAATCTGAGAACCATACAGTAAATAATTGATTTTGTAAAATGTCAATCAATCGTCTCAGACTTCATTGTTTCTTTGTTTTCATACCAATCATTCTCTGTTCTCTTTATTTGTTCGATAATCTCTTAAACTTTCGGCCTCTAAACATTTCACTTTTGATTGATGATACATAGTACTTATATCTATCGACATCAGTAGCACACACCACAGTGTATCGGTGATGCAAACCAGAATTAGGCTGCATGACATCCCCACAAAATTATCCCAAGTAAATAATAATCACAGATTGTCAACGTTCAAGCTAGAAGATCTGCCCAGTAAAACTTTCATCCGAATAGATAGTAAGAAAGTAAATAACAAATGGTTTGCATAAAATCGACAGATTATAAAAATATGAACCAATGATTCTAAGCTTGATGATTCAATGACCTCGTTATAACCGCTGAAAATCTTGTATTCTAATTTGTATGAGGTCGTGTGTTATCATGCAGTCTCAATGAAGAATGAGAAAGATATCTAATACCCCTTGATTGTTGGTGACTCTCTAGTTGTTATTAATTTTGATAAATCCAAATATACTAAAGTATTTGACACATATTTCTGGATCTATGGTCAGTTACTGAGTTATGACATTTTTATGATCGTGAAATTGTTGCCAACATAATTCCCTATTTGATCATCAATAAATGATGGACAAAATATAGTTTGTTTTTAAACAGTATTAAATTTCACTACAGAAATCCCTTGATAATATTTCGTATGAATACAGATACAATAATTAACCTAAGTAGTTTAATAATGAATTTCATACTGTCATCCCAAATGACAACATCAGAAGTGATCTCAAATTCTCAGGGAACTTATAATCGTAAGTCTGAATACATTGGTTGAATTTGGCTCATATATATTATTAAAGTATATGCCGCCTCTATCTCATTCGTTATGTATATTGAAAATGATAACAGGAATAATTGTGAATAGATTTTCCTTGTTTAATCACTCCAAGTGGACGATTTAGACATTAATTTTCAAGTAAACTGACTTCATTTGAAGAATTAATGTAAACTAAACGGTACCGAATATCTATTTTGTAACTGTTCGAGAATTATCAAAAAATTTTCTTATGGTCAATACATAAAATTGATATGTTCTTCAGGTATTATGTTGGACAAAACACGCTCATACTACTACGTTAGAAACCAACTGTCTACATCTTTGAATCCAATCAATGTATAATATGGCTTTGTTTTCATATAATACCACTGAGAAATTACTGTCTCACTGTCGATTAAATCAATAATTCTTCAATAAAAATTACCTCCACACTTTACAAAATCTCCGTAACAAATCATATTACTTAATTATGATAGAAAATGGTCATAATAAAAACATTCATTATTCTGATGGATTTTTACCACAAAAATAAAACCAATCCATCTATCTATTTACAATCAGTTGACTTTCTTTCAAGTATTCATTGTTATAACATTTATTCACGTTTATTTTTGTTTTAGCTCAAAGTGGCCCAATCCACTGAATATTTATATGCCAATATTTCATCATCCATTAAAAAAAAGATACAGACATCGATCAAATGAAGTGATTAATCGAAATCCAGTTGTAGGTATTTGTTGATTACACTATACCTTTTTTTTCCTTACCAAGTTAATATAAATTAGAAAATATGATACTTTATTTTAATACAATTAAATATTTGTCTCATTTTGATAGGTTAATGATAATTCGGATAGCTTTCGAATTATAGATATAAACATGAATGAACTAAGATAAACATTTCCACATAAATATTATCAATGCACTGAATGTGGATGTGACACTCGATTTCGTGAATCGGTCAAAGTTAGACATTAACACCGTTGCATGCTGGCTCAGTGGTCTGGTGCTTAAGCGCTCGCGCGCGAAACTGATAGGTCCTGAGTTCGAATCTCGTGAGGCGGGATCGTGGATGCGCACTGCCACTGAAGAGTCTCACAATAAAACCAAACGGCCATCCAGTGCTTCCAGGTTTTCCAAGGTGGTCTAGCTTCTATTGATTCATGATCTCAACTATTAAAAAGCACTGAAAAGACTTTCAGTTTTATTGCAAATATTGTTTATCATTATGAGATTTTCAATTATGACTGATATATTTTTTCTAAAAAGCAGTTTATGTAGATAGTAAGTCATTAATCCTCAGAGTTTTAATTCGAGAAAAATGATACAAATTTTCAGTGATAACGTAGTCAACCTGATTATTACTTAGTCCTCATCAACCACCGAAAAAAATCTGTACCATGTGACCTTGTATTTGAACTGGGAAGGTAAAGAGTTTCGTGTTGCCAAGAGTTCCATTGATCATAGGTTCTACCTAGTGTATGGTTGTGGATACACATTGTTGCGAAATTATAAAGTATAATAATAAACTATCTAGTATACATGATTTCACCAGATAATTGCAACTTATACTGATAAGTACGCAGGTAAATGTTTATTTTGTTTCATATATTTTTCTCATTATTTCAATCTATATAAAGCATTTTTAATTGTTTAATATAATTAAAATTAGATGACTTACTGCTTAGCTTTATTTAACATTTCACTTGGTAGTAAGAACTACTCATAATCAATTAAAGAAATACTAGATTTTATGTGTTACCATAGAACCAAGCTTTTTGTTAGTCATTCAAAGACGCTGTGTAGTGATCATTCAGTCTTATCGATAATGTGTTGTACTCACTAAGTTACTGAACTCTCGAATTAACAACTTCTTAAGAATCCTTTGGAAATGCAGTATGAAACTAGTCACTGAAAATAAAAACTTCAGTTGTTTATGTTAGCTTAGCTGAAGATAGACTAAAGTTGGAAATATGAAGTGTTAAATATAAGGCCAATATTCTTAAATTATTGGACTCACATTAAGACATGAAGTCTTTGATTCCAGTATTTGTGGAGTTGTGAACTAATATGAAATATTTATTTATTACTTCCTAGTTGATAGACGGTTCCACAAATGGTGTCAGTTCATAACATATACTATCTTTTAATATAGCTACTTATCAAAGACTGTCGAACAAAGCAAAACTGTGATTATACTTCTATTTAATTGACTCAGGCTTCTGTATATTGCCAAAATGTATAAAGCGTATTAAGTGTTAAATAAATGAAGGATTTAAGGAACTGTTATTAAAATACTGAACTAATATATTACATCGTTCAACCATACGCTACAAATCTAATTCGTTATGACAGTATGTTTATATCCAATACATATTTGTGTGAACTTATAACGAATTTCCTATTTAATTGCCTATATTTTAGGTTGTGTATAATTGTAGTTCTTTAAATCACACTACATCATGTTATCCTTGATTGTATTCATATAAAAGTGTTATTGAAATCCAGTTGAGAATATTAATGATCCTACTCATCATTTCAATTATCTAAGAAAGACTCAATTTCTATTTGTATTCGCTAACATATTTTTCTAAAAAGCTTGTTAGTTGCATAAATCAAATAGAAGGAGTGTATAAGCAAAAAGAATTCACTTACAAGAGCTAGATAAAAGTAGTACTTAACAAATTGTGAATTAAATTTTTCATTATCTAATAGCTAATTATAAATTTGTATGTATAATAAATGTTTATTTTGGATGGCCTGTGTCAACACTTGAACCAAGGATAAGAAGTGGAGTAGACGAACGCGTCGACATCTTCACTTATCTTGGAAGTCTGATCAGCCCTAATGGTTTGGTGATTAAATCTCTGCATAGATTCAGAAAGCTCTTTTGGCGTTTGCCAAATTAAGTCACCTATGGTGATGGCCAGATATCTGTCTATCAATTAAGGAACGAATATACGGCGCAGCAGTTCGCTCTGTTCTACTTTAGCACTGCGAAACGTGGTCATTTAAGAGTAGAAGATGCTTGTGAGCTACTAGTATCTGACAACAAATACCTTAGAAATATTGCTCGCATCTGCTGGGATCACCTGGTAAGTAATAGTGTGGTTAGACATAGGGTATTGGGGAATGATGGTAAATCAGTTGATGGGGTCTTGAATCTTCATCAACTGAGATGGTTGGGCCACGTGTTACGTATGCCTGAACACCGATTACCACGACGCGCTATGCTGACTAGTATTTGCGATGGTTAGAAGAAAGTTAGGGCCGACCAAACCAAAACATGGCATCAGTGCTTGAAGTCACTAACTTCTAGTCTGAGCCATGTTGATAAATGTAGACTACTTGGTTGGGGTCCGCGTGACTATCAGTCAGTCCGCTACAACGTTGGACCAGTCACACATATGCGTGACTATCGTAACCAATGGTTGGAGACTCTGTGTAACATGGCTCAGAATCTATCACAATGGCGCAGGTGTATACATTCTTTATCTTCCCTTAAACCTTAAGATTAAAATTGCTTCATATTTGTCTTCTTTTCTGTACTATATCCTTATACACAATCTTTCTTTTATATATTATCACCACTAAGTTAACTACTTCTATGAATTCGGTGTTCATCTTATTGTGTTGATGAGGTATGGCAACTTAGAGTGATGCATATATGTGCCTGGTCATACCTTGTAGCTGACTGACCGACTGACTATGAAAGTAGCTAAAATCATTGATATACAGTAATAAAAATGTATAACTTGCAAAACAAATATTTCAAAATAAATAAGTAATATTGATGATCCTTTTCGATTCACAATTTAATTTGAATGATTCTTCTCTTTTTTTCTCCCCACTTTTTAGTCATAACTACCATAAAGAGTGGTAGGGATAGAGAGTTATTTATAAGAATGGTGTTTCTAAATTTCCGACGGATAGAAGAAATAGATTCTTCTAGTATTTTAAGATCTTGCATAGATCAATTTTTTAATAGATAAACTTTTCTAAGTTAAAACAATCTTAGAATCATAAAAATTAAATAAAATCAATTATATATCCAAACATATTTAGTTATGAAATTATTAAAATTCAATTAATATTTTTTGTTTGCATCTTCCCATCGATGTGTTTAGGACTGCAACTGGTCAGTCTCTAATTGACATATGTGCATACTGTACGTATTGCATCGATATAACCTTAATTCACAAGCATTGTAAACAAAGATGGATAAAAACTAGCAGTGGAATCCGGGACGCGCGTTTTGTCCTGTTTGGGACTCGTCAGCTGGACATTAACTCTGCGATGCGGGCACATCCAGCTGATGGGTCCCAAATAGGACGAAACAGGCGTCCTGTATTCAACTGCTAGCCACTATCCATCTTATGTAATTATTGTTTATTTAAGTTGAATATCATATGTATGCAGGTTGCCATTAGTAAATAAATGAATCACTTACTTACTTACGCCTGTTAACCCTCGTCAAGGAGCATAGGCCGCTCACCAGGATTCTCCATCCAACTCCGTCCTCAGCCTTCCTTTCCAGTTCTTTCCAGTTGCTATTCATCCTTTTGATATCTGCTTCTATTTCCCGGCGTAGTGAGTTCTTTGACCTTCCTCTTTTCCGCTTCCCTTCCGGATTCCAAGTTAGGGATTGAGTCGTGATGCCCATTGGTGATTTCCTCAATGTATGTCCGATCCACTTCCAACGTCTTTTCCTAATTTCCTATTCAGCTGGAAGCTGGTTTGTTCTCTCCCATAAAACGCTGTTGCTGATCGTATCCGGCCAGTGGATGTTGAGTATTTTGCGTAGACAACTGTTTATAAATACTTGTACCTTCCTGATGATGGCCGTAGTAGTTCTCCACGTTTCAGCTCCATACAGTAGGACTGTCTTGACGTTCGTATTGAAGATTCTGACCTTGAAATTGGTTGAGAGTTGTTTTGAGTTCCATATGTTCTTCAATTGTAGAAATGCTGCCCTTGCTTTGCCAATCCTCGCCTTTACATCTGCGTCCGATCCTCCTTGTTTATCAACGATGCTCCCCAGGTACTTGAATGTTTCCACCTCTTCCAGGATTTCGCCATCAAGTGTGATTGGGTTGGTGTTCTCCGTGTTGCATTTGAGAATCTTGCTTTTTCCTTTGTGAATGTGGAGGCCAATCGATGCAGAGGCTGCTGCTACATTTGCTGTCTTCATCTGCATTTGTTCGTGTGTATGAGAGAGGAGGGCTAGGTCATCTGCGAAGTACAAATCATCTAATTGATTCTGAGATGTCGATTGTATTCCGTATTTTCTTTCAGATGTCGAATTCTTCATAATCCAATCAATCACTAGAAGGAAGAGAAATGGGGAGAGTAGACAGCCTTGTCTGACTGCGGTCCTTACTGAAAATGCATCTGTCAGCTGTCCTCCATGCACCACTTTGCACTGTAGTCCATCGTATGAGTTTTGGATAATGTTGACAATCTTTTCAGGAACTCCATAGTGTCGAAGAAGTTTCCATAATGTTCTCCTGTCCACGCTGTCAAATGCCTTCTCATAGTCGATGAAGTTGACGTGTAGTGATGAGTTCCACTCAACTGATTGTTCAACGATGATCCGTAGTGTCGCAATCTGGTCTGTGCACGACCGATCCTTACGGAATCCAGCCTGATGATCCCTAAGTTCGGCGTCTACTGCGTCTTTCATCCGATTCAGCAGCACTCTGTTGAAAACTTTTCCTGGTACTGATAACAAACTGATGCCTCTGTAGTTCTCACATTTGCTCAGATCTCCTTTCTTTGGTATCTTGATGAGATGTCTTTTTTTCCAGTCCGTTGGCACTTGTTCCTCTTCCCAAATCTTCTTGAATAGAAGATGAAGCATATTTGCAGTTATTTCAATGTCTGACTTCAGTGCTTCTGCTGGTATATTGTCAGGTCCCGCCGCCTTCCCACTTTTGATTTGTCTGATGGCCATCTTGACTTCTTCGATCGTTGGTGGAGTGACATCTATTGAAAGGTCAGTGTGGGCTGCTTCGATGTTCGGTGGGTTCAATGGGGCTGGTCTATTCAGCAGTTCCTCGAAGTATTCTGCCCATCTTTTCCTCTGTTCTTGAGTCTCAGTGATTGTCTTTCCTTCTTTGTCCTTGACTGGTCTCTCTGGTTTGCTATATCTTCCTGCCAATTTCTTCGTTGTATCATATAGTTGTTTCATATTCTTTTCTCTTGCAGCTTTTTCCGCCATCGTTGCTAGTTCTCCCATGTATTTCTGCTTGCCGGACGTTCCATGTACCTATAAAGAGTGTTGCTCTGGATGTTAGAAGGTGCATCGGTCTCGTGACTTCCGAAGAATTTCGGCTTTCATCATGAGACGTCATAATTATTCCTTCAACTCCCAGGGCAGAGTTTAAATGGTTTGAATTATTTTTTCTGGTTAGCGTTTTTCTAGCAAGTTAGCTTTTCTATAGGATGGGGTCGCTAACCCCATGCCCAACCCTCCTCCTTTACCCGAGCTTGGGACCAGCAGTAACTCTAGAAGAGCTACAGGGGGAGTTTAAATGAATCACAGTGTAATAAAATCATTCAATTTTCATATCTGTTTACAGCATGATTATTAATAAGTTATATGAGGCATCTTTAATAGATTATTTATGATTTTTGGCAATCGTAAGATTTTTCTGCAGTTTGAGACGTTTTTTGGAAGTATTTTTTTAAAACCTGTAGAATGAATAAATATGGAATTCGGAGGCATTGTGACGAGACTATTAAGAATTTATTATGTATAGCCTAAATGTATTTTAACTCAGATCACGATGTAATTTGTACTTCAAATATAAAAGTGCATTATAATTGAGGCAATTTAATGTGTTATGTTGAAATGAAGAGAATTTCAACTTTCAATCTAATTAAAGCTTTCTGGAGTGTATTTGATGTCACTGTAGATGACTTTAATTCTGTGTTGTCCCAGAATTCGTCGTAGTTCTGTTGTAGCGGTTTAATGATGAAATAAAATAACACCGACTACTTATGAGTGTTCTTTCAGTTTTTCATTTGAAGATATATTATTCTGTTTCAAGACGTTTTAAATAATATTTATCCAAACATTAATAAATCCCAAGATACTTATTTTATTCAAATGATTGTGTTGAAACCTGATCTTAAAGTTTGATACTTTATTTGTAAAAAGATATTATTTCGGATAATATTCATCAGTGTTGTAGAGTTGCTTGGTGACCTATAATGAAATACCGGACTTGCATTTCGTACGATCTGAAATCCATCTTCTAGGTTTACTTGTATTCCAGTGTTAATGTTCACATTGAGATTCAAACCCAGTACGTTCAGTTTCAAATGCTTAAATTGTCAACCACTGAGCTGATGAAATTATATAACCACTAGCTTGTGCATAGGGTAATAATATTATTTACATGGATTAGTATTTTTTGGCTGTTGATGTTAAGGACTGCAGCTAGTCACGAATGTTTGACGTATTCTCATAATGAAATAGTAATTTCAGCTGAAAAGTCCAAAACAGGATAAATACAAGTCCAAGAATCTGCTGCTAGCTACTACACGACTTCACTGAATCCTTGTTAATATATAACAATACCAAGGCAATCAGCTAACGATGCCTTTATACTAAAAGAGGTTAATCAATCGCACTTGTGAATATCAACGACGAGAAAAAAACAAACCTTATAAATATTTAATATTGTTTATTATGTGAAACACTTTTGTCGTTAAACTCTTCTTTTTATCAGTTAATTCGCATGCTTACACAACTAGCCATCTTAATCACTTTTACAATCTACATGTTGTATATATATATGCTTGCTTGAAATTAAAGTAATTTAGTTAAACAAGATAATAACACATTATGAGTTTGATGGAGAAAATGGGGATAGTTCTAGTGATAAACAACGTGTAATAAAATATTGGTCTTTTATTTTTTTACAGAGATTAATAGATTGTCTCTGTGTTATATCGATTTTTTCTCGATTAGAATCAATCTTATAATCATGAATAAGCAATGCATATACCAGTTTTCTCTTTAGCAATTCTGGAATTTAAATGAAATCACTAACCAGTCTAAGTTATACAACCATGAATGACCTGATGTAGAACTATCAGAAATTAGACAGATTGATAAGTGATATTTGTTGAAATTTGTGTACCATGTAATAATGTTACTGGAAATGTCACACTATGACGAGTGTAAGTATATTATCATCGAAATAAAAGCTATAACTGATAAACAAAATGAAACTTCCTTGGGTAAAACAGTTTTCATCACGAACTGATGTTAGTTAGCAAAAACGTTTGAAAACCATTTAGTAGCGGATAAATTTATTTTTTTTAGTTAAGGACTATCTGTGGATGCACACTGACGGCTTCATACTGGATTGAATTCAAGAACCTTAGGTTTTTTTGTGAACTAAATGCTATTGAGTCACCTACTTTGTATCTTTAAGTTTAGTTGGATTGTAATATGAAAATTTGACCACTTACTTTTATCAGTGAGTTATTATTATTCTTTTGCTTACATTGAATTCATAAAACACAGTGATTAGAAACAGAACTTTTAGAAATTTTTCTCAAAACTAGCTACTACTAAGCACTTGTTTATTATTTACTAAGGCAACTGTATGCAATCAACCAAGTTGTTAGTGAAACAGTTATATTCAATAACAACGTTTTATTATAATTAAAACGATCAACCTCTGAAAATTAATTTATTATCTCTATAGTATAGTGTTACCCATGAGATAAGAATGTTCCCGTTTCTATCCTGTTTAAGGTTTTAAATCATCAATACTGAAAAGCCTCAATCTAAGGTTCAGAAGTTGTCCACTGTACTCTAAATTTAACTGTTTCTTCAACTGACAATGGTCTATTATATAGATTTCATTTGAACTGCACAAAACCATCATAATGAAAGTATTTACTTTTGATTAATTTCACAATTGTTTACCTTTCATTGTTTTTAGTCTAACAATAAACAATGAAAAAATTAGTATTATTTTCTTTGTGTGTATATTTCAGTTTAATTCACGAATAATCCTGAAAGGATCATCAGAACTCAGTGATGAATATGATCCGCATTTTCATGGTATGTTCTCGTTTATTCTCTTATGTTTTGTTTCTTAGAAACGGAATTTAAAGTTTTTATTTATTTATAAAAAGCAACTTATAATAAGAAGTGAACGATTAAGGTGGTTGATGGAATGAAACATAGTTAAAATTGATGTGACTTTAAATTTGGAATATAATGATAATGTAGAATAGGAAGGATGATTTTACAATTACTAATAATCGAATTTAGGTATAAAAGAATCACACACTAACAATCAAAATAATAGCTGATTGTATAATTTCATTCAAATCATGAACCGATCTAAGCACAACGACCATTGACGACCTGGAAGTACTGGTTAGCTGCTTCATCTTAGCATTGCACACTCGAAACAATTTATATCGGTGTCCACAATCCGTATAATGATGATAAGAATGGGATTATTCTTGACTAGCCTTAAAAAGAAATTTCCGGAGTTCTAGTGAGAAGCTTTGATCAATAGAACTGAACCATCTCTAATTTGAGAAACTTATCCACCACAGGCAATAGCAGATGGTCGTATAATATCACAGATTGATTGAAGTTGGAATAATACTTCACTTAATTCGCACTAAGTAATCTTTGGGTTAAGCATTCACTTGCGAGACTGAGTGCCCTGTGTTCAATTTTCGGTGGCAGGGGTAATAGAAATGAATTGCCGAAGAATCTTATACTAAATACACATGTATAACCATTTAACTCCTTATCTATTTAGACTGCTTCGTAGCTGATGAAAATTCATAGGACAAAAGAATTCACTTTATTCTATAAATCTTATTATTCCTGAACTTTTCATTGTATTATTATGTTAATAAAATGAAAATGATGAGGTCCAATAAATGTATTGAAACAAAAGTTCATCCGTAATTTATAATTATCTTTCAAAAATTCATTCATAATCGAATTAACTAATTGTTGTACTATTGTTAAATCGTAGTTTAATTATTAAAAGTATATATTTTTTATGCATAACATTTACAGAGGACATTTTTTCATTCATTCAAACACAATGTAAATTTTATTAAAAGTAATTTCATAGTTGAAAGCGTGAGTCAATTGAACCTAGACCATCATGGAAATCCTGGAAGCACTGGACGGCCTTTTCGTCCTATTGTGGAACTCCTAAGCAGTGCGCATCTACGATACCGTCTCGCGAGACTCAAACCCAGGACCTATTTAATATTTCAATTCATTAAGAGTAAAAATTATTTACATAATACATATTACGTTTTATTCACACACAAATTATAATATTCAATCATTCAAAGTGAAATAATTTATTTTTTTATTTTTTTCATTCAACAAATTACTTTCCGTATCATTTTTCAATTATTCACAAAGGTTGTAAATTGACCGTGGGAAGATTGATACCTGGTAATTTATGTTCTGATGGATAAAGTATTTAATCAAACAACATAATTACTTCTTAAGTTGTCATCGTCATCAAATGGAATAGCTTTTATACTGTGTAACTATCATCACAACATTAATGAAAGCACAATCTTATTATAATGGTATTTAGAATTGACAAAAAATGAATTATTCTTAGGTGTGTGATTCAACTGAACTTTTATTTGACCCTATTTAGTCAGTTGGATTACTTTTTACAGTTTATCTGACAATTTAATTTTTTTTTTAAAATGAAAACTCTTGTATTAACGCTATTTAAATGGGTTAGACTTAGTATTATTTTAAAAAACAACTTACTTCATAGTGTTTGCTTATCGAAATAGCATAAGTGTTATGCTGAAAACTCCCTTTCTCATAATGTATTGTTATGACCTGTCAGTTAAAATAAGCAACTTATTCGAAAATTATTTAACGGGAAGTTTTTAGCACCTTGGAATACTGAAGTCAATTTGGATATGAATGCACTTAAAAATTGTTTTTGCTAATCTCAATAGTATAATATGTTATGTGATTGAAGGCAATCTAAAACATTTCCTACATGTGCGCTTCTTGGCGACTGATTTCGTGTACCAATATATTTCTATTCAAATATTTCAGCTTGAGTTACATAGTACTGCAATTACAGATGGTACAGCTAAGCTATTTGGAATGTGACTAATCTTCAATATGCTACTTATCAGCGATTCTTTAGTTACTTTTCCCTCACTCTTATTTATTTAATGTAGAAAGAATAGAAACATTATTCAGCAATATACTTGAGAAACAGTAAAACACTCGATAACTGAAAAGAATTTTGAACTTGATTTAGAACTGACTGAGTTGATTCATTATTTAGCTTGAATCTACTTAGAACTTGGTTTCAGATACATGTTTTTTCCCTAATTCCATATCTTATACTTATTTTTTAGTTATTAGGTTACATTTTAAAATAACATTGGAATATTTTGACATTTTTCAATATGAATCATTTGCATTTCATGAAATCATATTTACTTATTATTATTATAAGCTTTATTCAATATTATATTCTTGGTACGATATAGAATTCTCAGTACAATGTATTTCAACAAGTTTCCGTTTCTTACTTCTTGATCGATTCTGACGACAAGTAATGAGTGATCACCAGCTAGAAGTTAGTAGTCCAATCAATCGACATCAAAATAATGCATATTGTTTTCGGTGCATACTACCAGCAACCACAATATCTGTGATTGGGCCTTTGTAACTTTTACAACGAAAATTTGTACACTTTTCGGAAACAAAATTGAATAAGTTATGCGATTAATAGCCATAATGATGTAATAAAACAAACAAAATTAGATAACTTGTTGAAATATCTAGATAGCAGGAACAGGTAGCCCAGATGTTCAAGCAGGCCGCCAAAAATGTTCCTTATTTTCATAACCTTGTTACTTAAATAGTCAAACAAAAATTTTTCTTATTCCAATCTGTTGAGTCTAATAGAAAAGAGTACTTCATGGCAATTTGAAAATAGAGAAAAATTAATGTTGACTTTGTATTAAACTACTTAATTATCAGAGATGGATAGTGGCTAGCAGTGGAATCCAGGACGCGCGTTTCGTCCTATTTGGGACTCGTCAGCTGGATGTACCTGCATCTCAGAGTTGATGTTCACTCTGGGACTTGAACCCAGTACCCTCGCTTCAAACGCCATCGCGTTATCCACTCGGCCACTGAGTCCTGATAGCCACTTGCTTGTGCGATGGGGTGAAGTTTAAATTCAACTTAAAATTGTTTGTTTGAAATCGATGGGAAGCTTCAAACAAACAATACTAAGTTGTACTTAATTATCACTATTAATTCACCTTAAATGATAGTGTTTAATGTTTTTAAACATGAACTGTTAAGCTTTCCTTAATTATAGGGTATTAAGTTTATTTATAACGATTAGTCAATCATGTTAACGATGTTATTGATGAACATGAACAACAATTCATTAAAGTAATTCAGCATGAATTCATCATTCTGTAAAATTATTTTTTAATTTTTTAATCTAAATTAAAACATGATGATATTTGTTATACCATTTTTCATATTACGTTGACTATAAACATTGTAATTTCAACCGTAAAAAAAACTATTTGTGCATATTATTTATTCCAGCAACCAAAATCAAACTATAATATTAACATAATGGTTATAATTCTGTTTATTTTAAATCCTTTTGTTTAAGTGCGAATCAGTGGGGTTCAATCAGATCTGATGTGAGATAGTAACTCACTGATGACAATGGTGGACGGTTACTCAATTCCGTGGATCGGTTGAAGTTAGATATTAACATCATTGGGTGCCGGTTCAGTGGTCTAGTGGTTAAGCGTTCGTGCATGAGACCGATAGGTCCTGGGTTCGAAACTCGTGAGGCGGGATCGTTGATGCGCACTTCTGAGGAGTCACACAATAAGACGACACGGCCATCCAGTGCTTCCAGGTTTTCCATGGTGGTCTAGCTTCAATTGACTCATGATCTCAACTATTAAAATAACTATAATATCCACAGAAACCCCTTCTGATATTAAATAATATTTAATATAAACTTGGATAAATCAGGCCTCCGATACTTTATTGATTCACTGATGATTACAGATATTTTCAGTATATTTTGCTTAATGTCCTTTTTCTCTTAACATATTATGATGCGTATTATTTTCTGTTATCATTAATATTTTTATAAGGTGGTTTGCGTTATTTCCGCGTTGACGATAAAGAATATTTGGCCTATCAACGATTTCGAAAAAGAACTAAACAAAATGATGAGACGTAAGTGTTAGTAAATTATTGGTAATAATAAATTATTTTCCCACTAAAATTTTGTAAGCTAAATTACGTTTTAAGCGGTGATAGTTGGGGTCTGGCAGTGGAATCTAGGACTTTCCTGTTCTAACTGTAGACGCGTCACATGAATATACCTGTATTCCAGAGTTAATGTTTAACCAGTCACTTGAAACAGGTACCGTTGATTTCAAACACTATCATGTTATCCACTCAGCTACTGAGTCTAGATAGTTAATAGATTGTGTAACAGAGTGGATTTGAATTGATTTTTGTATTGGTTGTTTTTTGAATCTCTCGATTGATGTTCAGGAGTAAAATTGATCAGTCTCTTATAAGCACATGTGTATTGTGTGCGAATTGCCTCGATATTGCGTTGAGTCACATTCATTGTAAGCAGAGACGGATGATGGCACAGGATTTACATATGTCAACAACAGATTGATCAATTACAGTATATATAAGTCTGTAGACATATATTTATAGGAAATACTCTGGTTGATCTAGACTATTAATTCAGATGTTTAGCCTTTGTATTAAGTTATATAAAGTAATCTCAATGATAATGATCAAATTGTGAAAAGAATCGAAAAACCAAACCCCACTGATTTCTTTTCAAAAATGTGACAAGTTTTTAAGAATTCGAAAGTAAAGCCACCATATTTATGTATAGTGTGAGGCTCACTGTGTCATAGTTTACATATCTTTATTATAGTTGTATATAAAATTTATTTCACACCATTGTAATTGTTTGAAGATCATAAGTTTTACTGTTTTACTATTCGCCTACTTAAAAAATTTATGATAATCTCTCACATATATAAGAACTTTCATCTAAATTAGAGCGAATAGTTTCACAGTATTCGGGTGCCGAGTTGATAAAAGACATTAAATAGGAATAATATATTTGTAAAATCGCAGCGAATGAATTTGAAGTAAATCTGACGTTTCGCCTGGCAATCTGGTCCAAGCTTTTTCAAGGAATTATATCATAATTCTAGATTGCCAGGCGAAACGTTGGATTTACTTCAAATTCATTTGCTGAGATTTTACAAATATATTATTCCTATTTAATCTCTCACAGTTTAGGGGCCTCGAATTTTATAGCTATACAAATATAAAAATGAAATTTCACATTTCATCTTGGTTCTAACTAAATAACTGTAATGTAAGACAAATATGTGTGATTCTACGTTCATATGAAATATTTAATATCTGTAACCAAGCCAGTCATTTTAAAGTACAAACCACTATTTATGTTATTTAATCTTTTGGGAAGATACAAGATGTATATTATACTATTAAAAACATATCATTTAACCAAAACTGTTTGGATGGAAAAATATGAATGTTATATATATATATATATATATATATATATATATATATATATATATATATATGAGATGCAGGTACATCCAGCCGATGAGTCCCAAATAGGGCGAAACGCGCGTCCTAGATTCCACTGCTAGCCACTATCCTTCTTTGCTTACTATGATCTTTTTTATTGATGTAAGTTCATAGGTGAACTTTATCAAGAATCTGTTTGACATTTTATCATTTTTTTCAGAATTTTAGTCATTGAGGATTATTCTTTTCCTAGTGTATCACCATGTTCATTGAATTCATCGGAGATTTAAGGTTATGTTATTCAACAAAAATAATTGACCACTAATCTACTCATATATATATATATATATATATATATATGGAATATTTGAACAATGAAAAAATAATATATATAGTTACTATTCATACATATCTAACTGTATAATCTTATTTAAGGATATTATATCTTAAATCATAGTAAATAACCGGACCATATCACCTGGTGACAATATACTATTTCTTTAATCTAATTCAATAGTAAAATATAATAACATTAAGCTTTCATACAGAAAACCAACTAACATATTCAAAGTTTATTTCGTACATCATATTACAAATTATGTATTCATTCTGTTCAATTGTCATATGGTTTCCTCCCCCCCATGTTTTCCTTTTGTGTGTTTTGCATTCTCATATATAAAAAAATATTTTTCTCATTCAAATCATTAAGCAGTTGTTTATTTGTTGTTTATGAAAAATAAAAAAAATTATTGCTTTTATTTGAGTTTTACTAAGTTTGTTTACTTTATTATTTATTAGAAGTCCAGGTAGATCCGTTACACGTGATCTACAATCAGTCCATAGTTATAAAAGTGATATAAATGGTAACCAGGATTATGTGATCAAGGTGAGTAAATGATTTGGATATACTAAATTAGGAAAACATAAAATTGTAAGTAATAACAATTTTTAGGAGTGGAGTCAGACAAGGCTGTCTACTCTCCCTCTTCCTCTTTCTTCTGGTGATTGACTGGATTATGAAGACTTCGAAATCTGTGGGGAAGCACGGAATACAATGGACATCTCAGAACCAATTAGACGAGGAGGAGGACAAACCAGCTTCCATATTAACATAGAGAACCAAGCATATTATTCTGATGAGTCCCAAATCAAATAGAACGAGTGTTCTGCCATATACATCCATCTGTATACGTTAATGTTTAACCACTCAGTTGAAATCCATATGTGTCTGGTTATATATGTCACAGCTTCACAGTTAAACATTGTTTAAATAAATATCAGCTAACTTGCAATGCAGTATTGTCATGTAATTTTTGGCTTTAAACAGTATTGTATTGCCTTATGTTTAAAACAATAGTAATCTACATCTTTGTAAACTATTTTTAATGAAAACTAGCCATTATGAAATGTATATTGTAGTTTGAATTGGCCAAATATTAATAGTCGGATTATATTTTATATGACAGTTGAATAAACTAGTTGATTGAATATATAAATCTAATCATTATGATTGATTTCATTCTTTTCCATCATTAAATATGTTGATTAATCGTCTTATGAATTATTAATTTTCATAGAATACGTTTCTCAATTTAGTGAACATTGTACTGTAATAAGACTAAAGATTGCTAACTTAATAATGGCATTTCTCGATTTAAAATGTTGAATTATTGCTTTGAATTACTTTTGATCCCTGAATTGAAAATACAATTATGATTCAGTGATCTAGCTGTTAAGCGCTGGTGCGTAAAACGGATAGGTTCTGGGTTTGAATCTCGTGAGGCGGAATAGTGAATACGCACTGATGAAGAGAGTCCCACAATAAGAACAAACGGCCATCCAGTGCTTTTAGGTTCCCAATAGTGGTCTAACTTCAAATGACTCGTAATTTCAACTATAAAATAGATTTTAAGTTTTCTCTTAAGAAT